CTGCATTCACGTCTCGGGCAAAAAGTGTCTGCAGGCTCAGAGGTCCAGTTGGAGGTGTCGGCAGGAGCTGCACAGCAGAGGCCGCTCGGTGGGCCCCTCGTAAGGGTTTGGATTGTATTTAAATGCACCTGGAATGATCTGTGGAATCTAATGGGTGAACATGTAACTGGGATACATAAAAATTCATTGTTGGATCCAAAATATCAATTGCACAAGGACAGGGCAGGGGCCCTTGGCTTCGTTCTTGTGCTTCTAGCTTCTAGCCCTGTCATCTCTGCAGTAGATGCAATATGTCCTCCAGAAATTCCGCAAGTAGAAATAACAGCAAATTCATGATGACCAGAGCAGGAGAGGGGCTGCCTGCATGGACTCGCATTTCTGCCTTTGGGATTTCCTGCCCAGGGAACCCCACCTTCCTTCTCTTAGTCAGCTGGGGCTGCCCTGACAGATGCCACAGACTGGGTGGCTGAAACGACAGACATTTCTCTCGCACTGTTCTGAGGCTGGAAGTATGAGAGCCGGGTGCCAGCCTGGCCGGGTTCTGGCCTGCAGGTGCCACCTTCTCAGGTATCTCTTCTTATGAGGGCATCCCTCCCCCCATGAGGGCCTCATTGTCACAACCTCATCTAACCTTCAGGCCCCACCTCCAAACACCATCACATGGGGATTAGGGCGTCATTATATGAATGGGGGAGGCGGGGAGCGTGGACAGCAACATTCAGTTCTGCCGTCTGGTATTTGGAATGCCACCACTGGGTGTGTGGCCATTTGAGTAAATGCTATTTTCTTCCCATAGCCCTAATTTTTTAAAATTGATTTCAGAGAGGGAGGGAGAGAGATAGAAACATCAATGATGAGAGAGAATTTTTATCTGCTGCCTCTTGCACGCTCCACACTGGCGATTGAGCCTGCAACTTGGGCATGTGCCCTTGACCAGAGCATGTGCTCTTGACTGGAACCCTTCAGTCCATAGGCCGACGCTCTATCCGCTGAGCCAAACTGGCTAGGGCAGGAACATTAATTTTTTAGTGCCTTAGTTTACCATCACTTCTCCCCAAGATAGGAATGATGGGAGGTAGTGATTCTGAAGGAGGCCTTGCCATGAGGAAAAATGCCACCTGCCTCACACGTTCATCCAGGGCCCAGGTGCGCCCTGCCGGCGGGCTGCGCACTTCACAGCTGAGGCAAACCGGAAATGAAGTCGAGAGATTTACTGAAGAGCAGGGCTTCCGATAGTCTCCTAGAGGAAGTTCCAGAAATGACCACCAAGTGGCAGCAAGTGAACAGTCGTTCCTAAAACCCTGCAGAATCTTCCGGGAGTCAACCTAATCTCAGCCTGGCTAAGTCCTAGGAACAGTGTGAGGCCCCCAGGTCCCCTCCACCAACCTGTGTCTCTGCAGAAGAGCATGGTCCTTCATGGTTTGTAAAAGGCTCTGCCATGGCCCCTTTGGGAGTGTGTATAGGTATGAATCCCTGTACTTACTGCATACTTCAGCCTCCCCTCAGTGCTATGACGGAGAGGTGCTATAGCAGGGGCCCTGACCCAGGCTTCCTGGGGAGAACATTCCAGGCAGAGGGAACCCCTGGGGCTTGGGCTTGTCTGAGGGGTAGAGGTGGCTGGGATGAAGGGAGCGATGGGGCAGGGGGTTTGGGCTAAGTCCAAGGGCAGGGAGCAGCAGATCCCGTAGGGCAGCAATGCCTGCTTTCTCCTGGGAGCGCCTCCTTTGAGGAATTTTACACAGAAGGGACAGGAGGGGAGAGGGCGGTCATGGGCCCTTTCTCTGGGGTCACTCGTTAAAAGGCCAATCTGTGTCCAGGTCATGTAAGTTGTGTAGGCCTGGCCAGGTCCCTCCACTGTGACTGCCCACTGGTGGAAATAAAGAACGTTGATTGCAATCACCGCACAATGGTCTCTTTATCCCTGAAGTTTCCTGCCCTGACTTCGTTTCTAGGCGAGTGAACTCTTTCTGTGAGTGAAATACAACCTCCTGGCTGGGTTTCCCGGAGCATATGTCAGGACAAGAAGCACTTCTCGTGGCTCAGGAGGTGGAGACCCTCTGCTTCAGGAAGGCCAGGCTCCGTGCCAGGGATGTGGGGGGCAGAGGCGCTGAGGCTGACTCAGGCCTGGGTGCATGAGGGCCAGTGAGCTCAAAACCAGCAAGGGGTAACGACCCAGGAAAGGAGACAGAACAGGCCAAAGGCGAAGTCTCCTTCTTGAGAAATCTTAGATCTCTGACCTGTCTGTAACTTTAGGTCTAATCTAATACTGCCTCCCCCGACAGAGCAGCAGACTGTGTTAGGGGCCATCTGTGCCCCGACCCCTGCAGAGGGATGCTGATTGTTAAAGGTGCAAGCTTGGTCCCTACTTCATCAGTAGGAAAGAGACTTTATCTCATTTGTTTAATATGGAATCTTTGTAGGTAAAGCCCTTCAAGAAAGCCAAAGATAGAGACTGAAAAATGTGCAGTGTGCGGAGCAATATGGGGCATGGGTACCACTAGAGGGAGCCATTTGAGGGTGTCGTGGGAGCCGACTGGTTGACCCTCTTGCCTCCAGGTCATCAGGGTGAGCCTTGGCCTTTAAGGTGGCTGTGGAGCTGGAAGGCAGGAGCCCTCACAGGTCTGGGGTTCTCTCCTCAAAAGTGCTCTTGTAATCACTTTGTCCCCTTTGGACATGATCTCCTCAGGAGAGTAGATCAGAGTGTGTGCGGTGGCCTGTGACCCGTGGTGCATTTTCCTGGACAAGGTCACCTGGTTACTTCTGCAAAATTACCCGTTGCATATTCAGTAGAAGCAACTTCATCCCTCTACTGCAGCCTCCATCCCTCTACTGCCTCCAAAAAACTCCTGGTTGCTCTCCAATGCCTCTGTGTTGACAGGGCCATGGGGAGGGGAGGAAGCTAGTCCCCGCTGCAGGGCAGGCAGGCAGAAGCGCCTGATTTGTCCTGAATCTGGCTGGGGGGCGAGGGGAGTGGTCAGACCTGCTCTCAGTGCCCAGTGGAGTATCTCCTTTTGGTCACAGGTCTTGCCCCGGTACTGGCTCAGGGATGGGCACCAGCTCCACCCCTCACCGCCAGCGGGCTCTGGGGTGGGGTGATTGGGGAGCACCTTTCTCCAAGCCTGAAAACCCCACCTCTCTCTTCTGTGGCTGTGGTTCTAGGGCCGTGGCTCTGCCCCAAATCCATGTAAGTCTTTGTTTTACTTTGGAAAGAATTCCAGTCACAAGCAGCATTAAAAAGAGAGCAGCCTCCTCCATGTGGCAACACTATTGACCATTCTGTGTTGCACCTGCAAGAGCCCAGCGCCAGCGCGAAACATCTCAGTGTCTGACTCCTCCGCAGGCCTGTTTGTGCCACCCCCTCCTCACGGGAGCCTCTGAAGGGCCATCCTTGCAGAAGTGATGAAGGCGACCACAATCCTAACCGACCCTTACCGAGTGTGTGGTATGTGCCAGGCTCCGTCTTAGGAATCTTCTGTGCTTCTCATTTAATCCTCTCGTCAGCCCTAGGTTCCTTTACTATTCTCCGTTACTGATGAGAAAACCGAGACATGCCCGAGGCTGCAGCACCAGCCGGTGGCCCCGATTACGGACTGTAGAATGGATCGGAGAAGCCTCCGTGGTTTATTTCTAAGAACCTTTTCCCGATATAATAATTTGTTAGTTGAATGATGAACTTAAAAGATAATGTAGAGAGACGCTACTAGTAGTATTTTAACAAAAACCTAAAATCTAGCCGCCGCCTATCTAACATCACCCACCTGAGCTGTTAAAGGAACCGAGGTGCCTTTTTAAGTGTGGCAGGCAGCTGTGCACACCGGGTCCAGCTCCTCCAGTGATGACGGTTTCCCCTCCAACTTCCTGAGGAGGCAGGCAGCGCCTCGCTGGGTCTCAGCCAGGGGCCACGTTGAGCCCCCCCCCCAACGCCCCCCGGCAAACTGTCCGTTCCTGTCCGTTCCTTCATTACAAGAGCTGAAACTGGTCCTCACATGTACGTCCTGCCAGAGCTCTGGGCGGTCTGAAGTTGCATTGAAAGCACGAGCCACAATCTGCTCTTAAGCTGCTGACCCAGTCTCAGCTGCTCACACAGGAGCAAAGGCGAGGGCGTGCAGTAGCTGTTACATCCACCTTAGCATATCGCAGCTGTTGAGTCGGTTCCAGGAGGCAACTGAAATGTTGGAACCTCTGATGCCTCAAAGGTTTAAGGCAACTTTCCTGAGTGTTACATACGTCAAACATGTGATTATAGTTACTATAATGAGTAGAGACAGAGTAAAATATTTCTGGTGAAGGCATGCCAGCTCAGCAGCCCGAAGGTTGTAAACACTACCACCGGGTGCTAAAGTAATAATAAATATTGCACTTTACATGAAACCACCAAGTTAAACATTTTGGAGGCAACAAGTAATGATAAGCAGGTTCCTGAGACTGTTCTAACAAGAACAGTCTGTTTATATATTGTGCCTATTTATAGATTTACAAAAGTTTATCAGTGTGTCAGTCCATTAGTAATCTGGGCATTATTTTCACGAACCTTTATCCCTATTATTTATTTATTTTTTAAATATATTTTATTGATTTTTCACAGAGAGGAAGGGAGAGAGATAGAGAGTTAGAAACATCGATGAGAGAGAAACATCGATCATCTGCCTCCTGCACACTCCCTATTGGGGATGTGCCTGCAACCAAGGTACAGGCCCCTAACCGGAATCGAACCGGGCCCCT